AGCGGCTGTTTCACGTTAATCCCTTGCAGTTCCCTGGTCACTAAGACAAACTTTAAAATTGCTCGGTTACCGTTAAGATGCGATGCGTGAGGATTTAGATATGAGTGACCGTTGCGTGGCCACTGTTTGAGCCTGAAGATAGGGTTACGAATCAAATCGCTATGTTTTTTACCATATTTGGTGAGACTCCTTTGTTCTCGCCCTCCAAGTGGTACGAAAACTGCTCTCGCTCACTGGTTACTGGACATAGTGCCGCCCTATACTACTCGCACTATTTCAAGTGAACAATTCGCACAGTTTAACTATATCAACCGAATTTTGTTATCGGTTCTAGCTACTTAGAGGAGTTCTTTGTTTCACTAATTTTTTTTCCTTTCGTTCAGCTTTCTGGAATTGAGTTGATATTAAATACATAGATTGTTCATTTTGATAAGAATGTTAAGATTCTAATTTCTTAGCCAGTCGTTAATGCCATGTTTTCAGTGTAGGGTATACGTTTTTTGTGCTTGTCGTATATAATACACAATAAAAGCTGCGGTGAAAAAAATTGGGTAAAAACTAGGAAATACTAAGAAAGCTGTTACGTCTCAGTTCCTTCAGCAAAACGTAAGGCATGTTACGTTATTTTTAAAAGTATCAGCGAACGAATGGTAATAAGTAGCTCTTAGATTTACAACTTAGTAGAAGAACTGAATTGCAACCATTGCTGGTGGACTTGTAAATACCTGTAAATGCTGTAAAACTTATAAGTAAAAGAAGGTTCAATATTGAATTTAGCTGTAAGATCTGCGATGTCCCTTTTCTTAAAGATTCTCGGAAACAAAAGGGGTTCTGTATCGAGTCCTCAAGAGTTGCTGTGTCCCTTCAAGGAAATAGTTGCTACATAGCGAATGAAAAGTCAAAGTGACGGGGAAAAAGTCTATCCATAGGTGTTTGTCCATTTACCTTACACATGCTATTGGATTGTTTCCTTCACAGGAGGCGATCTGCTTTTACCAGTGGATAATGATTTCCGTTCTTTCCGCCTGGATAACAATGGCTTCTGGTATTACAAACCCGGACAATCTCCAGCCACTGCCACTGATGGCAGAGGCAACAAAATCTGTGACCCAAGGAAAACCGTGTATGAGCCGCACGAGTTTTTCCGTTTTATGTATGCTGAGAGGTGGAGCACACCATCTGGCAAATTTTTTGTAAGTTTTGCCAGCTGTTGAGACGTTTCGATAGAGAGTTATCGGGCGCTATTATCACAGACCTCAAAATTTAACAAAAAGGTATTTGTGATTTCATCTCACTCCTTCCATTTTGCACAATGACCATTTTACATCTTTGAGGATGTTAAATGACATTTTTGACAAGATCCTTTTATCATTTGCTCCTTTTCCAAGGTTTTCTAAGTCATGAAAACATAGCTGACCCTGAGATCCAGAAAGTCTTTTTGCAGCATCCAGCATTTTTCTAGATTTTAATAATCTGAACAGAGCTAACACAAATCAAATTTTTTACTTAAAAGGATGACAAAAACCCCAAATTGTTAAAAACGATTGAGGCATTGAAAGTGAAATGTGATATACTTCTGATCTTTGTTACTTACATTTCTCAATATAGAGATCTTTATGAGCATTTTAATCTAGCAGTTTTTGCCAAGTTTCCTAATCGTTAACCTCTAAGTGTAAAAATACCAGGTATGCACATTAACACAAACTTTATCGCTTTTGTCCCCCCCCCCCCCCCCCTCACACAACCTTTCTTATCCTGTGCATACCATCTCTGCAACTCCCGGTTGCGGGAAACAGATACCGGACTTGAAGTGCCGGGAAAAACCAGCTCTGGTGAAGTGTGATCGGCTCCTTATAGAGTATAAAAATGTTTTACGTTTAAACACATAGCCATAGGAGGTGGAAACACAGTCTCCTTTACGGTGAACGTCATCAGCTTTTTACCCGCATATCTTTCGCTTGTACATCACCAGTAAGACACAAGTGTTAGGGAACTACACCTTATTTGTTCTGATCTGTGAATAAGATTCATTGTCTTAAGCTTCCCACTCTTTGTCTCGTTGAAGGAGCTATAACTGCCACTTTTGGCTTCAAAGCACACAGGTGCGTGGTAAACTTTTTGCCAGTTCCCTTGTATGAAATTTCGTAATAAGAAGTTCTTTAGTGTAAGGTTTGAAAAAGACCTGATAAAAATAAAATATCTATGCTTGGTTGGGATTACGAAGCAGCTGTTTTATTGTTATTTACTAAATTAGAATTTGTTATCAAAATTTTCTGCTTTACAAAACAAAGAGGCAATTTTAAAATAAGTGCTGAAAACAGCTTAAAGAAATGTATTCAATCGTCAAATTTCCACGCATATTTGGACTGTTCATCCTCCAGTTTTTCTAGCTATGATTCATTCAATGAAGTGATCCTGCCAAAATCTCCATTAACCCCGCAAAATGTGGCACAAACCTGAATATTTATATTCAGTCGTGCGTGTAGGTTGATGCTATCTCGGTTTCGTAAAAGTATTTCGTTTTAAGTGAGCGAGAGGTTTTATAGGTCTGATGTTCTCAGGTATAAAAACATTTTGACTACTTTTGGTATTCTTGCTTGGTGTCCTGCATTTCTTCAACCTGCCGAATGCGATCCTTGTTTTTCAATATCGCCCCCGATGAAATGGCTAATTCTTTGCAACTTTTTTGTTACTACAAGGGAACATTACCTGTTTTCTTTCTAGGAATACAAGACATGCAAGAAAGATCAACTCAGTTTTAATTATCTTCGTAGAAGTTTGTTTCACCGTCAAGTACACAGCATGATTATTTGTAAAACCATTTGTCTGAAGGCTATGGAAATAACATGGCTAAGTTTGATTGCATTGTGTCTAGAAAAAAGTTACCACAGCTGCATGCACCTTGTTTATTTAAACCGTGAAAAGATAAGATAACTTGAAGGGTTTTAATTGGGCTTTGAAAATATTCTGATATTTCAAAATTGAGGCGTCAGTACATATATGTTATTTGCCGGCTGGGAGGTCCGTATGGTGAAAAACTGTGACCGAGGTCTTGAAAATACTGCCCGAGACCGTAGGCCAAGGGCAGCATTTTCAAGACCGAGGTCACAGTTTTTCACCATACGGACCGACCCTTAGCCGGTAAATAACATATTTATTGTTTTTAAACTTGACGAAATTCTTTCCGAAAGAACGCGAATGATTTATGGCCGTAAATACGGCAAGATCTTCCTTAAACTGAACAATTTTTGATTGAGTAAATGGTAGTTGAAATAGAGGTGATGCAAATTTAAGAGAGATGCCTCAGCGAAACATTTTCATTTCCGTAACGATAAAGATGATTTAAAAGGCTTCCAAACAAACTTTGAAACATTATTTTTACAAGTATCTGTCACAATCTGACACCTGTCAATTAGAGAGCGCGCAAGAAAAAAAAAGCGTAGGAACATTTGAAAACCAACAGAAGTAGTTTGGCAAGGACTGTCACGACAATATTTTCTTCAAAATCAGTCAATGATCTAACGGAAAGTATTATTCACTCTCATCGACCATTCATTCATGTACGAAGATTTACCTCTGTTCATTAAGTAAACGGCGAGGAAAGTAATTGTGAGTAAGTTCAAATTTTTTATTTTGAAGTTGTGAGAGTTTGCTCGTTTGTTTGCTGTAATGGCGTGTTTAACTCTGGTCTTTCCTTCACAAAAACTAAATTCGAACGGCACACTCCAACGAGACACAAGGGAATTTAATGCGGCCTTTTCTCAAAAAAACCCTTCAATTTCTGTTGTGCAATTTACGGTACAAATGTCCAAATTGAACGGAATTGGAAAGACTCACCGGGAGCGTATATTTGTTGTAGAACTTAAATTAAAACTTCGCTCGCTTTTTTTTTTACTATGAACAAATTGCTCGAGAAAATTCAGATATTAAATGAATGAAAGTTCCATCGTTCAGTTTAACTGTAACCAAATACCTCACGTTTCAACTTTCTGGGTACTTTTTGTGAACGATTAAAATTAATTGCAGACGGTTTTTAGGCCGCTTGTCATCCAACGTATGACACTATTGTTTATACAAATTAATTCTGAAACCAATATTTTTCTGTCAACCAAAGTGATTTGATAGAGAGAAAAGGGAAGATTCATAAGTTATTTATCGGCTTGAGGTAGTGACCGACGTGTTTGCTTAAAAATACTGCCCAGCCGGAAAACGAGGTATATTTATGAAAAATGACAACGAAAGTTGGGATGTACTCGGCGACTCACGAAAGCGTTACCGTGGCCCGTGGGCAGAGATAGGAAAATACTGACCGGGTAAAGAACCAATCAGATTGCAAGATTCGTTACCGTGCCCTCTAAAAAAACAATAACGAAACTTATTGCCAGCTAGTTAGCAGAAGATATATTTTCGTTATAAGTGGTGTCTTAGCATATGAAAATAACAATTTTTATTTTCATGTATTTTTTTTATGGGTAATGGTAATCTTTCCCACTGAATTGGACTGAGTTTTCTCTCAAAATTATACTGTAAAATATTAGAGGTCGTAAGGGGTTTAGTGCCAGCGAAGGCAATTCGGCTTTCATTTAATTCAGTTGTAGCTTTCGTTGAGAAACGATTCTATCACCTGCTTAAGTCTCATTGACATGCTTATTTCTTTAATAAATTAGTCTGAGTCGTCTTCGTCACTTTGCTGAACCAGACTTTACGCTTGTTATCAGGGTAATTTTAGTATTATCGACTGAGTTGATAACGAAAATTGGCCACCGTTAAGAGTTTCAGTTTCAGTTTCGAGTGACCAGTTTTCTTTTGAACAGCGTTCCTGTGGTGCAAAACTTGAGGGACAATGAATAATTTGGAAATAATGTCCAGGGAATAATGAATAACGAATGTTTAGCTTCCCTCAGCCCCAAATTTAATTCAAAGGCCATTGCGTGGCAAAATTTATTTACACTATAAAGTACAAATATGTTAATCTTGATAAAAATCTGTAATTTGTTCGATGAAAAAGAACACTATGTAGAAAAACCTTTATGTACATCTAAGCTCTAAATTAAGATGCCATAATTAGAAATTAAGTTCAGGGTCCGATTCTACTTGTTCTAATGCTCAGTATATACAACTGAAACAAGTAAAGCAAGAAAACAAACAAACAAGAAAGCATCAAATGCTCTTCTGAGAGGCGTGTGAGAGACTGTTTACCGAGGAACAGGTCCTAAGTGCTCTGTAGATCTCGCTCAAACGTTCAGTTATAGTTTTGGCTTGAACATATCCAACTTTAAACGAAAACAAAGCTCATGTTGTGTGATGTCTCAACCATGGAAGAACAAATCTTATTGCCCTTCGATCATAGTCCATTCACCGAACGGATATTCGTGAAACTAATATCAGGGTGCACCGTTACATTCATTTGCACAAAAAGAGAAATGTGAGCTAATTAGCTCGTAGGATGGGCGTGAAAGAAAAATTGAACGGCCATTATTTACTCTACATCGCAGCAAAATATTTCACTCATTTCATTGATATTTTTCCTTTAAAAACTGTAAGCCTCCATCCAGTTAACCATTTATTATAACAAAATTAAATGTGTTGGAAAAGCCAAAGAATAGTACGGGTTCACCTATATCATGTGCCTAGATCCTAATTGTGTGATTGACATGTTGTACTGCTTGGCCATAGAAGATCTGGGTCAGACGAGGCTCACACATACCAGGCGAACACATCAATACAAGTTTGGCCTGTATTTTCGCCCTCTGAACAATCCATCCAATCCTGTCCATACCATATTTGGAGCTCTTCCTTGCGTGAAACAGATAAGGGATCAACTAGGTGACTAAATTCAAGCTCCTTCGATTTATGACCAACTCCGAACGGATTGTAAAAGTGTTTTTTGCTGCCACACTGGTGATTGCTTCCAGATTTAAAGGCCATCAAATTTTCCAAAGGTGGAAATAATGATTTTTTATTTCCATTTGTAATAATTGTCATAAAGTAATTGTTGCCGTAGAGTGAATATCTGCAGCCCCAGTAAGATGGCTCGTCAACTCGGTTACAGCGTATGGAACCCGATCTGTGGATCAGCTTCATTGCTTTAATCTGGCCACTCTTTGGGACGTGAAATGTACCATGTTGGTTGTCTCGTGCTCCAAAGCACACTGGATCTGTATTCATCTTCTGCCAGTTTCCTGGGATTTTTTGAGAAAAAATGGCCTAACATCATCATCAGTGATAATCTGTCTGTCTGTCTAACTATCTCTCTGTCTATCTAACTATGTCTGTCTGTATGACTGTCAGTCTGACTGTGTGTATTTTTGTCTTTCTGACTGTCTGCCTGTCTGAATTTCTGTCTGTCTGAATTTCTGTCTGTCTTTCTGACTGTCTTCCTGACTGTATGGCTCTCTGTTTGTCCGTATGACCGTCCGGTAGTCTGTCTGTCCGTCTGGCTCTCTGTGTATATTTCTGTCTGACTGACTGTCTGTCTGCCTGGCTATAAGTCTGTCCGTCCGTTTGCCTAGCTGTCAGTCCGACTGTATGTCTGTCCCTCTGGCTGTATTTGTATTGTATTTGTCTGTCTGACGGTGTGTCTCTGTCTGTCGCACTGACTGAATGACTAACTGTCTGTCTGTCCGTCTATTTGTCTGTTTGTCTGACTGTTCGTGTGACTGGGTATCTGTCTGTCTCTCTAAGAGACAATGCTCTTCTTTTTCTCTTTTAAGTCTGTTGCTCTAGAATTCTTGCCTTTACAGCGAGCTTTGATCACGTGATCAGTTCCATCTGAGTATATCCAGAAATCTCCATCAGCCATATCCTTTCCTTCACTGGCTTTGATCTCACTGCACGACTCAGCCGGAAGCTCTTGACTAGATCCAAGAGGAACTTCAAGCAAAGGAGTGACATTTATCAGAAGCGTAAACTCGACACAAACCCAACTTACTGCTAATCGCCATAAAATCTTAAATCTTACTTCTATATGCTTCGGCTTAGCTTTCAGCATACACTTGTTATCGTCACATCATATCACGCAACAACGATAACAATATTTTCATCAGAATGCGTTCCTTGGTTGAAATTTTTTTTTGGTCGAAACAGAAGCTTTTTTCTCCAACGAATTAAAACTGATACCCAACAGCTCACGTCTGAAATATACTTTTTGACTAAAAACAAATTTATTTTTACCCTGGTGTTAGTTATTTTTTCATACGATAACTATGTTCTTATTTTTTTCGACATCATCCATTTAAAACAACAGCGTAATAAGATGAACAGCAATGAAACGTCGCTATTGTGATTTAGATGGTCAAGAACTTAAACTGCTGCCCTTACGACAGCGTAAGCTTGTCCGAAATGCCTCACGTTTCCTCACGTTACATTGTAGCTCATACGAAGGAGGAGAAGGACACAAGCCCAAAGCAATTAGCACACATCCATCAAGAGCTACACCTGAATTAAGAGAATTATCTACGTGCCCACATTTTATATTCAAATATATTCAGTAACGGAGGAGAAAGAAGAAAGTGGAATCCAAACGTACCTCGGTCACTCAGACGTTTAATGTAGAATCGACTCCGGTCTGGAAGAAAATCCTCTGGTCTTGCTTCTCTTGTTCGGTTATTAAGTTCGCAAACTTTCTCACTAATAAAATAATTGTAGCTCTGACAGGTGAATTCATCGTGACATTTAAAATAGCATTCCTCTGGCAACCCAACCTTTGCCGTTTTAAACGTGTGGCCCTTGAGGAACATTCCAGAAACAGAGTATTCCACTGAATGGCATCGATCGATGGCCTCAGTAAAGGAGATTTGGAAAATCTCAACCACAAGTGATAACCACAAAAATGTCTTCATAGCACCAGGATCTCTGAAAAAAACAACAACCACAAAAACCTCTTTGCAAAAAGTATTACTAGTAACTAGCAGTTAAAATAACTCATATTTGACGAGTGAAGCAGTTACACTATATAACGAAGCACAACTGGCCCGATTAAAAAAAAAATGTTATGGGTTTCATTGTTGATTATCTGTGGATCGCACCGGTTTGATATCAATACTCCATCCTGTGGAAAGGACATCCTTAATTTTTTTTCTGCAACGGTTATATTTTTACTGCAAATATCGTTAGACTATTATTGCTTTTTTTCAAATATTTTCGCAGGGGAAAGAAAATAGCTATATTTCACGCTAAACAGCTTTCCACTGCATTTTGTATTTTGAAACAATATAAGCTGAAATTACCAGTATTCTTTGCTTAGTTTCGCAATCACTGATTTAATTCCCCAGAAATCGTAAAACGAATCAACAATTTCCAGTTTCCGTATTTTTAAATTGTTTCCGAACGCACTGAGGATGTGACAGAATATGTGAAAGAAGCCCTCAAAATGTCTCTTGCGTTTGTAAGCCAACCTTCATTCACTGCAAAGTGGCACCTCGAAAATCGGGACAAATTTCTTTTTCCACCAAAAGTTTCATAGAAAAGTCTAAGGTCCTCCACCAGAATTGGATCCCGTTGTCTGTTGTCTGGATGTAATTCGATGACGGTAGAAGGCCGCCAATAATATGACATATAACTGTTTTTATTCTCAACGTCGATGTTCTCGCTTTACCTCTGCAACCTCTGCTTCAGTTGTGGGTTACTGTAAGAGTGAATAATTTTTACTGTAGAAAAACTAATAGATGGCGAAGAATATCAGCATCTGCCAGCGAGCTGAGGCAGTTAGCATTTTGAGCTTCTCAAGTACACCAGTTTTGTCAATACAAGTGAGAAAAGCAAAAACCAAAAGGATGGAAAATATTCATCTATTCAGAACTCGGAATTATCCATCAGCCGATGTTTATACGTACCCCGCTGAGACCAACGAAGGGTCAGTAAAGCCAAACAGGATACTTGAAAGAGTCGGCTTTGCGCCTCTAAGCGACATATGGTGAAAGGAGTAAAAAATAAAATGTTTGTAACTACTTTGGATTTATAAAGTGAATAGCATTCTGTGCGCTTTTGATATCTTGGAGTTCTAAAATAAGGTTCATGACGAGAGTCTACAACCCTCGAATTAGGTCTAAACAAATATAAATTCTTTTATCTAGCACTTAAATAAAATCATTCGAGTATTCTGTAGGTTTTTCCTCGAGCTTTCACGTGACATCTATTCAAATGACTGAAAAATCTGAAATTTCGAGCAATTACATGTGAATTTGCTTTGCAGCGCCGAAAACTGATGGGATTCACTGAATAAAGTTTCCAAGGAGACTTTGATCTACATTTCGTCCAAATACAGATTGTTGTGTAAATTCTTAATCAACCGAGCTCTGTACTGGATTCAACTCTGTACCTGAGTTTAATACAAAGAAACTTAGAAGGATTGCTCCCAGTCTCTGACCAAAGTGTCCTGCCGTGATAACTCTCAACGAGAATTTTCTGGTCCTCGATATTTTGTTTATTTTTCTGAAAAATGCATTAGTCCGAGCAGAAAATATCGATTAATATGAACTTCTCCTTAGCAAGTAATAAAAAAGGGGCATTCCCCATAAACATCGTTAAAATGCCTGATACGTTCGATGAAATAGTTACCTTTCTTCCCGTGATAAAGATGCGACGACGCATACACCTAGTTTCATAAAAACTATGAAAAGCTCACTGATTGTTTACAATGGAAAGTCTTAACTGTTAATAAGCAACAGATCCAGAGCACCCCGCTGTCAGCATAAAAATGAATTGTTGCACTCACTTACTCTTTTTCATCAAACTAGTTCGAATTTTTCGGTTTTTTTTTTTTTGTCTCTTTTTCCCGTTTTAAGGGGAAAAATTTTGATTAAAGAAAGATATTCAGTTCTTCTGCTGCCAGCGTGAGACAAAAGTAAAAATCTGATCCAGAGGGCAGTTAAATCTTCACTGATGATTAGTTTGACATGAAGAACCAACAACACCATTACATTATTCTTAAACTCAGTTTCGATGTACCAGTTTAAACCTAATAACTCGAAGTCTATCTTACTTGGACAAAAATATGAGAACTATAATGATTACAGCTATCATGTCAGGCGGATTAATTAATAATTTATTGTTCCCGCAGACAAAATTGGTACTGAAGCAGTATACAACAACTTACGTAAAAAGCCAATACCGTTCCGAGTAACAAGAAAGTCACAAATCAATCATCACTGACGTGGTTACGTATAATATTCAAATTGTAAAGTTTCCCTGCTGACACGTAAGGTTTCTGAAATTATCGGAACGTTGAGTCTGCCGACTTTGCAGTTTATCTTTTAAGGGGGCTCCGCATGGAAATGTAGTACACAAATTACCATTTAAAACAATCTATTGAATCTTTAAAAATTTACCTATATTATTTGTTTCGCAAGGAATTATAATTAATCCTTATAGTTCTATAAGTGTAAAATTTAAATTCGGAAGCAAGCTCTGACAGGCGAATAGCGAGTGAAGACCTCAATAACATGTGTTAAACACAAGTATTAGTTAAGGTTTACGAATGGGTAAATTCGACATATAACTAAATTTATAAATATTTCATGGGGTTCGTCTGGTTAGTAATTTTTGCCGTTAAACGATCTCCTCAAACTTCCTGTTTATTTACAGAGTTTAGCAAATAAGTGTCAGGGGACCAGCTGAGCGCTTGAACATCAGCACACCTTAGAATTTTTTTGAACAAAGCCCACTTTATTTCTCTTCTCGAACTGAAACGACGACGATCAATGTCTATTTCTCAAGCTATCAGTGGCCTCTGAAGCTTCGCCCAAGGACAGGACGGTGCTGAGAATCAGATTGAAAATGTGTGATAAGATGTTTTCCACTTAGACTGACATACTAATAAACTATTTTTCCGGAAATGTTGGTTACCACTGCACTTAAGCTTAAAATTTGCTAAAAGCCTGGATTGTCAATAGGAAAATGTCTTTTATCAAGGTCTGATTAAATATCACCGATGTTCAGTTTATTGGTCTCTCTCACTCTCAAAATTTACACGCCTCTTCTTCTTCCTAACCTCTCACCACTTTTTCGCTCTTTCGGGTGATTTTCGCGATTCGGTGGCCAGCTCTTGAACGACGACTGAACGAAGCACCAGCTACGCAGGATTTATATCAGTAAATTGTTTTGGTATCCACAGAGCACGAGAGAGGTTATCAACAGTTCTTTATAACCCACCCATAATTTCAACGCGATTTTATTAGCCACTATAGCCACGTGATGCTAAATCACCGGGCAGTTATCATACAATAACCCCGTCCACGTCAACATTTGTCATATGATTATTAACAAGCCATCGGACAAAAAGCCATTTCAAGAGTTCTATCTTTTCATCTCGATTACTTTACACGGAGGAAAACCAACTCCGTGTTGTCCAAGCTAGTCGTGAATACGCATCGGCCATCAATTCAACACTTTTTTACCATCAGTTCTAGTGCGATACGAACATCTGGTAAATCGGTTGTTATAATCTATCCATTAATTTTCGCGCGACTCTCCCACTGACTCGACTCTTTTCACCGCTAGTTACTTGTGACATTCGTCATCTGATTATTTCCGTCGGAAAGAAAAAAAAGCCAGCGGAAAAAGCCTCCTCGAGAACTTCACTTTTTTATCTTTGTTATTTATTTAGAAGAAAAACGAACTCGTTTTGTAGACTTCATTGGTGGTGGACATTAAAAAGCTGATTTCAAATGTTGCTCTGGAAAGTACAAAATGTAATTGAATATGTAATTGCCAAGGCAGCTAAGAGATTATAGCGGAGCTCGCGTAGCCCCATAATTATAGCGAAGCTCGCAGAGCGTAGCCCCATAATTATACAAAATAGTAGTAACCCATCAAGCCGAAAAATTTGGATGTACGATCGTATGACCGTACAAGGCGCTAACATGCGTGGTCAACTGTACAGCGGGCACGCCAACGCCACGGTTTTGTCCAGTAGTCCAGTGGCCAGTGCTCATGGCTCCGAGTCGGACGACCCAGGTTCTAGTCCTGGCCGGGGCAAGGCGTTGTGCCCTTGAGACGTGCGGGAAAAAAATGCGAGCACCGCTTTTAGGCTTGGCTAAATCTATATATTACGCCCTTAGGTTGTTGAGGCGCGCAAGAGTCATGTCAGAAGACATGCTCAAGGTATACACATGTAATATTCGATCAATCTCCGAGTATGCTGTGCAAGTGTGGCAAGATATTCCTGCATACCTTTCTGGCGCTATCGAATCAGTTTACAATCAAGTCGCCCGAGTCATCTCGCCCGAAACCTGAGTCATGTTGCCCGAAATTTTAGTTTGGTCGCCCGAAAAAAAAAGTCAAGTCGCTCGAAGAAACAAATACTAAAAAGATCAGAATTTCACTGTGAATAAGCAATAACGTTGAGAAATTGATGTTTGAGTAACGATTCTAAAAGCGTGGTTCGTTTCTAACAACAAAGGAAAGCGTTCTCTGTTTCAAACAAAAAAAAGGAAGCGCTGTTCGTTTGGTATCTACTCGTTTCTTACTCGCGGACATTTCGTAAGCCTGAGAAACTTTTTCCTGGTTTCTAACAAAGCCATGAAGACTTTGACTACATAGAAATCGATCATATGGTCAGAAAGGCCATATGATCGACAGTAATCGTCGCACTGTAAGGCTTGTTGACGTGGTCTGACTTCATCATCACACTCAATGCAAGGATGAATGCTCATTTTGATCAGTTCGTATTCGTATTGTAGCTAGCTTTACCCTCTTATATACTTTGTTCGGATCAAAATATACATGCGACCGCCAGAGGAAACAGAGCACAACTACATAATTTTTGTTTTTTATTTTGATCCTAAGGGGAATGATGCTATCAGACTACTACTATGAAAAAAGTCACAAGCATAAACAATAGAATGCTATCTTAAAAAAAATAAATAAATAAATAAAAAATAAAAAAAAAACACACACTTACCCTTACGCAAGGCAACAGGTTAATTTTATTTGTATGTTACTCGCTTTACTTTTTACCGACTTGTCGAACTCGACAATCGACATTCGTTTACCAGGTGTTTTCACCTGTTATTGTTAAGAAAGTCACAAATAGATACAACAGAACTTTACTAGTATGTTACGCTGCATCCATGCATTTGTTGTTATAGAAACGAACAACGCTTCCCTCTGTTGTTAGAAACGAAGAACGCTTCGATTCGTTACTCAAACATATTTCAGTGCTGATCATACAATCGATTTCTGTGTAGTCAAAGTCTTCATTGCATTTCAATAAACAAGAGTTTCCCAAGCTTACGAAATGTCCGTGAGTAAGAAAAGAGTACATACCAAACGAACAACGCTTCATTTTTTTGTCAGAAACGGAGAACGCTTCCCTTTTTTGTTAAAAACGAACCACGCTTTTAGAATTTTTACTCAAACATATTTCAATTCCGAGCATACGATCGATTTCTGTGTAGTCAAAGTCTTCATGGTATTGTTAGAAACCGAAAAAAAGTTTCTCTAGCTTACGAAACGTCCGTGAGTAAGAAACGATTACATACCAAACGAACAACGCTTCATTTTGTTGTTGGAAACGAACAACGTTTCGCTTTGTTGTTAGGAACGAACAACGCTTTAAGAATCTTCATGGTGTTGTCGGAAACAAAGAGCGCTTTAGTGATAAAAAATTTCTCAACGTTATTGCCTATTCACAGTCTGAAATTCTGATCTTTTTAGTATTTGTTTCTTCGGGCGACTTGATTTTTTTTTTCGGGCGACATCACTAAAAATTTCGGGCAAAATGACTCTCGGGCGACTTGACCGGTTACCATTGAATCTATACAAAGAAGAGCTTTAAGAATAATATTCATTTTTTCCGCCAATATCAACTGCAGACACTATTTATTTATACTAAATATTGTTGGTTGAAGAAATACAGTTTACAGTTTACCCTAAATTAAAGACAATTCTCCGAGGTGGACCAGGAGATAACAGTGAAAAGAAATAAGTCCAATAACTTTGTGTCAATGTTTACTTTATCTAACTTTAACATAACTTTGCAAATATAAAATTTGAATTTGTCTTTCAATAAAATTGCAAATTTATTTTAAAACTGTAAGTCCCCTGACAACTTTATATGTAAATCAACCACTCTTAACAAATTGTAGCCATCTCACACAGAAGCGCCAGAACCTCACATGAATTAAGTTTCATCTTGATTGAGGTTATCTCTTTTGCAAATATTTCTTTTTTAGTAAATTAAGTCAGGGTCTCCAAGGGGTTTGGCTTAATAAATCATTTATATTTTGTTAATCTAAAAAGTTCATAATTATTCATATCCTAGATTGTAATTTGTCTTTATGTATGATTGTCGAGATGGTGAATTTTGTAAATTCAATTTTTACTGCATGAAGTACATCTGTAGGTTTAGGTAAGCAAATATATAAAAATGCTCTCCAATTTTGCCAAAACGTTTCTGAACAAGGTTTATGATATCATTTTATCACATTTATTATTGATGTAATGTTTAAAAAACGAGCAGGAGTGTTTTGTAAAAAACACGTGCTGCGAGTTTTTTGAACGGCTTCAAAAACATTCTTGGAAAAGCGTGTGTCAAGAGAGTTCATAACAATTATGCTTTTGTGAACGTTAGAAATTAGCATACGAAAAGGTCAAACGCAGAGGTTAGCGAAAACGAGTTGGAGTCACTTCTGCCAAATGATCTTGAATTCGAAGTTTCAGATGATGTATTGTCTAATATGCCTTTACCAGATTACTGTACTAATGGAATAGAGAATTTTTCCAGATGTGTATTTCACAACTGTACTATTAATTTGGTGCAAAAGAAAATTTACTGTGTGAAATTTGTTGAAAGAACATTAAATATGTTCCCACCATTTGTTGTGTCAGTTTCTGTGCTGATAATTAATTAATATTCATAATTCACGTGCAGTGTCTTTATATCTGATAAAACACCGCATACTAATAAGGATGAGGTTTATCGATATAAAGTCACTGCACGTGATGTAGTATCTACCATTTGATAGGTTAATGGGCTTATGAATTATTAATGAGTTTTTGAAGAGCTTGTAAACAACTTCCTTGGAGAGGAGACCACTATGATTGATATGCACAGATGCCCCCTCTGATGCAGACAGAGGTAGTTTTTTAATTAATGGTCACCAGCCTCTGTTAGGAATCCACTTGTCAACAACTTCATCATCCTTCACAACATAGTATACAGGATGCATGTAGGCTGTGGCACATGCCTGAAAAATCCACAAATAAATGTTACATTCATTTTACAATAATTACTGTGCTTGGTACAATTTTGTCACTTAAACTTACCGAGAAAGTATTGGGTAAACCACACATAACAAAAATACTCTCCTAAACCTCCTGTTTCAAAAAGCTTGCAAGTAGGTTGTATAGGGGTAAAGAGCAATCCTATTAAAACATTACGTTTCAGCAACATGTCACCATGTCATCAAATGCAAATGAGAAACGATTACCAAAGATAAAGATAGTAAATGAAAATGGGAAGCATGACTTTAAAATGCCAAGAACAAGACCATAGAATAACTAAAGGAAGAGTTTCCTAAAGTGAAGTTTGTCTTAATGTTTAAGGCTGATCTCTATTCTTTAATGAGTGACATCTCATAAACAAGGCACTCAACCTTTCCACAGCATTTCTTTAAGATCTTAAATTGTACATGAATATTATTTGATCTTTAAAAGCCATATATATTTTTTCAATAAATTCAACTTCGTCATGTCTTTCAGAAATAACACATAAATGTGTTTAATACAACAAAACATAAGGATGATATATACTATAGCTCACTTTGAGGTCTAATATTAATTCGCTTGTGATTCTTTTGTTGTGTATATAGATGACTAACACAGATTATACTCACATGAAAGGGAATTATCCTTAAGAATGACCCAATTGGATAGAGCAACAAATCTAAAGGCCCTTCCACTGCTTGCACTGTGCCAATTTCTTGAGTCATTTTGACAAGTCTGCAATTAAAGAAACATATTTGATTGTGAGAATGCTATATACAAATTCTACAAGTTTACATTTCTCCCTCCTCTTGAAAATGGAAAATTTGAAATGACAAACAAATTGTTTTTTCGCTTCTTCCATATTTCTTCATTTGAAGAAATATGTTTTTCCAGATAGCTTGTTTCAAGCTCATTGATAGAGATTGCAACTGGTGTGGCCATATTTGCATTACCCCACAGGAAACACCCACATACAGCCTGTGAAGGTTGATCTACAATAGACCTATGCCTCTAAGAAAAGTCTACAAGGATTTTTATCCGTGTAAAATGTACAAAATGTATTTTTCAACCACCACCATCACCAAGGCTAAAAATTAACTTCAGTGCTTGGTGGCCAGTCGGGCCAGTTTCCTTGAATTCTTAGTGGCCCATCCCAAAATGAAGGAGCCCTCAATTTCCTCTAGTTTAAAATGAAAACTTGAATAAACACCCCTTAGCTTTTAATGGAGCATCAACTAAAAGGAAAGAATAAGCTCATGAAATCACTGCTTAAACGGCTTGGAATTTCCACTTCATAACTAAAACTTTGCTATAATGGATGATCTTAGAGTCCACGCAAAGAAACAAAGAGAAAGGTAGTCCAATTGAATTACATATTGAGCTTTATTTTTAACTTTGTACTTCACATACTTTACATTGCAACTTTTTGAAATTCTGAGGCATAGTTGCACATCAGGTGTTCAAATGTTAACTTTTGGTGGCCCTTGTCAGTTCTAATTTGCCACTGGCAATCATGCAACCACCAATTTTTTTAGCCCTGCATCACCCCCTTCCCCTTCCCCTTCCCCTTCCCCCCCCCCCCCCTCACACAGCCTGCAGCTGTGGGGAGGAGTGTTGTGACAGTCATTGTTTTGTAACAGTTGTACCTTTTCAAGCCAACTTTGTCACCACAGAGACTATGTTCAGAAAACAGTGCTCTATGGCTCAAACAAAACACACATACTTAAGATTTGGATGTCCTTCAAAGTAACAAAATCCTGTTTTGAGTTTCCCAAGGCTATCATGGGACAACCCAGTCCAGCCACAGTCAATCAAAATTTGTTCCCTATCAGGGTAGTGTCCAATCACTCTTGTCAAGACTCGCACTGCAATATCATTCAGATCACATGATCCAGTCAGGTACTGCTGATAGTCTGAAGAACAAAAGCGTGAATAACTAATTGTTCTTCAGAATCCAGCTGTATTTTTACCAAAAAGGGAAAAAAATAAGTTGTAATTTTATAGTGACAGTTAAGTATAATACTTCTTTAAAAGACAAAAAAATGTACTAATTAAAACAAAAAAGTGAATTCACCAACCATAGAATACATAATTTCCTGGATGAAACTCATTAATTCCTTCAACATCATCTGGAGGTTTAGAGCAGGATGGAGTTGCTCCTATTGCAACAGTAGGAAATTCGATACCAGCTTGTTTAAGTCTACAATGAAAGTAAAATAAAGAGTAAATTAAAATAACTCTTTAACAGCTGTTTATTTGTTTTATGGGTAACTGGTTAAGTTGTCCTATAAGGTCATCTCACCCGAAGTCACCTTTTTACAGAACATGACTCAATTGTCACCCGAAATTTCAGTCATGTCGCCAGAAATTAAATGTCGAGTCTCTGGAAGAAACAATTACTTAAAAGATCAGACTTACAGATTGTGAATAGGCTATAAAATTGTTTATTCTAAGAACAAAATAGAGCATTGTTAGTATGGTACATACTCATTTTGTGTTAACGGGGTTTTCATAAACTTGAGAAACTTTATTATACAGGCAGTTTTGGTTTCTAACCACATCATGAAGACTTAGACTAAACAGAAATTGCTAATGTGGTCAGAATTGAAATATGTCTGAGTAACAACTCAAAAAGCATTGTTCCTTTCTATAACAACAATATGCAGCATTACACTGTCTGTTTGGTATTCACTCATTTCATACCCATGGATGTTTCTTACTCTGTCTATTCATACCCAATGTGAATTGGTTTGCTCCAAACCCCAAACACTCAGTCTGTTATTTATACTTGTGACTTTTTCAACAATAGTAGTCCAGCTTGTATTGAGTTAGACCATGCCAACAGGCCCTACAGTGCCACCATTGCAGTCTTTGGCAGTATCATACCTGTGAGTTTGGCATGGACCAAAGAACATACTGTTTGGCCACCATAAAAGGGTGAATAGACTGGCAATGTGTTGCTTGTTTAATCACAGCCTAAAACCCATCAGACCAAATTTCTAAAAATTTGGGTGACATGACTCAGGTCCCAGGGGGACATGACTTCAGGTGAAATAACTTCAATTGACTTGATAATAGACTGTGTTACATACAGTGAAAAACTAGTAATGGACCAAAATTGCAACTCAAAATCAAAATTCAAAAGTTTTGTGGGCTGCTTCACAGAAAGATCATCAAGCACACTGTCAATTAGAGCACAACGCAACATTAGATGAGAGATCTGGACACTAGTTATGATTTGCCCGATAGGTGCCTGGCGCGAGCCACTTGTAACAAGCTGTACTTTGCACATGTTTCTATCATTCTCTTACGAGGATGCTCGCCTTTCTAGGATAAATCTCTCGATGAAATAGACAAAGTCTTATCTATCAATCTTCAGAAGTTTGCTAAGAATTTTTAATTACTACCCTTACAGGTCACCATACTCTTATTAAAATAAGAAAGTTAACTTTTAAACCAAAAAAAATATCTTGCCAAACACCATCTATCAGCAACATATTTAGAGAAGGAGGTTTTGAAGCAGGCAATTGAATATTGCCCACAGATACAAGTACTCTGTCCCTACCATTCACAATGGTAAGAAATGTGATCCAATTCAGTTATACCTTACAATAGAGAATGTGCAAGCACAATATATAGCTTATAAGCTAGTTAAAGCCTCAGAACACCAGCAGTCTCACCTGTGTGAAAATATGTTAAGTCTCTTGAATGTTTCACTAGCAGTTTGTTTTATTTCATCTTCACCCTGACAATTGTAAGAATTCCCTTCATGGATATAGAGCCCTTTGAATGTCACACAACTCTTGGAGGAAATCTCCTTGGCCATGTCAACACTTTGAGGATCATCATACCACACACCAGCTGAAACATGCATATTTGAGAACACAAACAGCATTAAAGGAATAGGAAGATTAAATTATAGTAGATATATCTTGTAGAAAAATTACCTTAACCCTTCCTCTCCCACAACTGATGAACATGTTATATCTCCCTATAATGAATCCAGCAAACAGGTAACAAGAACACTCAAACTTATCTCGTAGAAGTTGTTACCTTTATTTTAACTAGCTTATGAGGAAATGTGCAGCAGCTAAAAGGGGGAATTAACAATTTGATCTTGGGTGTTAAAAAGGGTTCAGCCAAGAGAAAACCAAAATCTAAAAAAAAAAACATTTACAATTATTTCTACATTATGATTTAAAGAACATTAACTATAACTGAAGTTAATAATGCAATTTACTTCCTTGATGTACACAGTCAGGTTAATAGTAGATGAAGAATAGAAAGACTGATTTTAATGCTTATGAGGAAACATCAAAGAAGAGAAGGATTATTGTGCCCTTGCCTCAAGTTAATCAGCTCAGAGATCAGAGATGTCTCTCTCGTGATCTAAATCACAATTGTGTGATGGCATACAGCACTACTTATTTGAGAATGGGTGCTTATTAACTTTTCTTACCTTCATGTTAAGTACTTATTCAAGGTTTGGTGTTTTATACAATATAACAGCTGGGCAACTCCTTAAAAAGACTTGCCCTATCCTGAACTGTTTTTATCTATTTCACACAAATAAGAACTCAGGCCCCTTACAATAACATGTCATATTTTTCTTTATCCACAAATATGCTTTTCAGAGAAGCCACAGCTACATTGTAATTATTTAAATAAATGACAGTCTTCTTTTAAAATTGTAATTTAAAAGAGCTTGCATTTTCATTTTAACACTGGTTAATATATACTGTCTTTGCACCTGGGCAAGTTAACTTACCTCTGTTGTATCCACAGTTAACTTTTAGGAACACTGACCACTTTTTTCCCTCAGGAAGAGGATAAACAACAAGTGAATCAAGAATCACGTAATTATCAACCAACACATGGAACTTCTCGAGACGTGACAAAAGCTGGGCAGCCTGTGAGACCTTGTCAGGAGAAAGTGGATAAGCATAAGTGATGTCATCATAGCCTCCATTGGAATAAAATTCTGCTTCTGCTAAAGTTGACACTGATATGCATCTTTTTGTTCCTGCAGTCATGTACTCTCCTGCTTCCCTAAGTGTAACAAAAATACTATAATTAAGGATCATTGCACAAAAATACTATAATTATGGATCATTTCACAAAAATACTGTACTTATGGATCATTTCACAAAAATATTGCCCTCTCTCAACCCAATCAGACAGGGACCCACCTTGGGTTTGACAGTAAAATTAGCTGTTCACAGGGCTGTGCACTGATAGCTTTTTCGGTTGTTGGTTCTTAATTGTCTTAGATAATTTTAGTGGAGGACCATTATGGCATGTTTCTTGGGGGCAGGTTGGAAAGCTGTTGTATGTATGTGATTGTATATCCAATTAGTGCTACCATTGTACTGTTGGGTATTAGCTTTAATTTTGTAGAAAACCTGTAAATTGGCCATACAGCTAGGCATTTTGTCTAGGTTGAATTAATTTACCTTCTTTTATCTTAATTATGGGTAGGTTTATACTAATGACCCTGAATTTTAATTTTTTTATGATACATTTTATCTTGAATCATAATTCCCCCTGATAAAAATGTACTTCACAGGTCATCTTTTGGTAATTAAGGGACTACTGTAAAACACGACTGTGCTTATCATAATAAGCGTTATGCCAGACGAGGTGGAGTAGTAAACACTGAATCTATCCCCTCTCTTAAGGACGTGACTGGAAGTCTGAACCATTACCATTTTCAAGAAAATGTGAGTCGAAAATAGGCATATTGCTGTAAGTCTTACAGAAGACAGAATTCTTTCGGGGAAAAAAATTGGCAAAGTGTGTAAATACTCTGCGATAGATGGCCCAAGGTTACTTCTCAATAAACGTGGAAAAGCTTATTTGATTACCGTCCGAGACAATGAATTTTTCTTTCTGAATCTTTTAAACCGAATTTTGGAACTTACAACGTTCTGTGAGTCTTCATATTTGTACGAAGCTCAACTCCAAGACCTTTACATCTATCTATCATGGCTTTACAATTGCTCTGAACTGTCTTTAGGTCAATCATAAACGCTGGTGTACGTAAGTCCGTAATTTTTTGTCTGTCCGCCATATTGCCTTCATGGGTCATCTCCAGGCGCCACGCAGACAATATCTGCATAAGACTGGATTTGATTATGGATTAGTTGTCATAGTTACAAGTTACACTGAGACAAGAAAATGGCGAAGTTGTATTCATCAAGGCATTTGAGGTGTTTTTGAGATTTTCTCTCTCGGGATTTATTCGACAACATATGTTTAGTATTTGATTGGAGATCTTTCTCCTCTCCGCGTTTAAGAAATATTGACGGTTTTTTTTAAAAAAACGATCAGGTTTATGATGAGCAAGGGATAATCAACTTCTCCACGATGGATGTTCAACCCCAGGTACGCAGTTTGTACCGTCTTGTTTTGTTGTATTCTCACAAAAGACACATTCCTTAGACTCACTTGTGCGTTCTGCTAGAGCAACTATGCTTCTTTTTGTTGGTAAGACTAGGTCTTTTTGGGACAAATGGTGGACTGTTACACAATTTAAAATCGTGCCGGTAGAAAGTTTTCAGACAATTTGATTTGAGTAACAATTTACAGCCTTCAACCCTGAATAAGCAAGGATTATGGTAGCTCAAGAGTATCAATATCTTCGCTCTTTGTTTTCAAGAACTAGTGGAAAATAGCCAGTCCAGAGATTACACCAGTTACTGTTTCTTCTGCATTGGCGAAATAAATTGTTTTGGTAATTATAAAATGACAAATTTTAAGTTAGGCTTCTTAACTTAAAAGTGATTTGGTTCACAGTTTTCGTCTGGCCAAGTCAAGGGTCGGAATCCTCATTCACCAGTAAGATTTCTTCCTCAGTTACCCGAGGTAAGCTTAATAAAACGCAATGATCATTATCATGTACATGACTTAATTTCTATTGTAAATACAGAACGACTACTGTTGAGTTTCTTGCTTAACTTTAAGCTGCATTGATTTCGTTTCGCTAAAGAAAACAGCATGAAAATTAATACTGTTAAGAAGAAAGTGACAAAGTAAAAGACAAAGAAAACGAGAAATGCAATTGCTGGTATGATGGCAAAAACACAGCAATGTGTTGATCCAAGGTGATCAACATGGTTACCTTCTCTGCAGTATTCTAACGGTTAGGTATCTCTCAGAGGTACCTTCATGTAGATGTACACTAATATTATATAATATTATAACTAATATTTTGATGGCATTCATGGTGTTTCTTGATTATTTTCAGACTCGCAGTAAGCCAGCATGGCAACAGACTGCACCATCTTTTCAGCTAAGTCCTAACAAAAGACTTGCAGCTGATGCAGAGGAAGAAAGTCGTGCATTAGGTAAGTTCCAAAATTATATTTGAATAGTTAAGTTACTCAGCAGTGTTCAAGTCTAGATTTTGCTGAAGTTACTGTAAGGAAAGCTTCGAGCCAGACAATGAAGGGATGTAAAACTACATAAATGTAAGATCAGAAGGTGTTTGACTTTGGATCCTATTCCCAAGTTCCAAATTTAACTTTTTGACTGCTGCATTACCAATCACATGTTATGGTCTGGAGTTGTAACCTGATAATGGACAAGTATTAAGTTCAGAGTCACATTAATGAATTTGTGAATAAATAAATGATATTCATAAACATCAACAACAATCCCAAATCAGAAAGAGCAACTTTTTTTATGTACATGATTACTTATTCAGGATATTTAGCAAACTACACAGTAGGCTAAGACTTTTTTTGGTGTGGGGAGGACTCTGGAGTAATCTAAATCAGTTAGCCTTCATGTAAATGATATTAACCTTAAAACAACACTTTTTTTCCACTGGTCCAATTTGTCTATGCTAATGATAATAGGTTTTGGCAAAAAAGCAAAACACTTACGCAGCAAGACTTGGGATGCTGCAAATGGAAAAACAACTCCATCCCCACCCAGTCCTCCCCCTGGCACAAATGGCAGAAAGGGAGGTACTTCATATGCTGTTAAGAAGGACAGGGAATCATTCCGTAGTGCTCTGGTCAACATCATTATGTAAGTATGGTGCTACAGTTAAAAGATGATGGGAACAATTGTTAATTTTACAACAATGCATGAATACACATGTATAGCAAAAACCTTTGACTTACTTCCCTTATTTTTATTACTATTTTTAAATTATTTGGATAGATCCTGCAGCAATTTGTAGTTGCTTTCATCCTTTGCAAAAATTATCAATATACCACAAGAACTGAAAGGTCAATGAAAACTTGCTTACTGTTTTACAGGCAGAATGAGGGTACAGCTCCAGCGCGTCCATCCTCTGCAGGAGAGCTCCCTCCCCTGGAGAGAACTGGCTCCCCAACTGGGGCTGAAAAAGATATTTTGGTGAGGCTCCATCACAATTCATTATTTTGATGTTATTGGAAATAAGAGTGGTTGTGTTGTTGTTATTGTGGTGGTGTTCTGTATCCCTGGCAAGAGGAGCTTTAAAGGCACTTTATTGATCATTTACTTCATTTATTGATTTTTAGGAAAAAAAAAACAAAGAAACAAAATTTTTTTAAGTTTGCAAAACATGTTTTGACATTATTAATGTCATCATCAGTTACAAATTGTACTTAGTACAATTTGAATTTGCACTTACACTGTAACAGTATGTCATGGAATTACAATTTTAGTGAAAATAATAGAAATTGGTGTAGGTGTACTTTTCTTTATGGATCAGAACAAGATGATTACATCATATTTGAGATAATATAACTTTCTACATAAATATTCAAAAACTTATTCAGTTAAATTGTTCAATAGATCACATTCAGCACTTACATTTCCTCAAAAGCTTCATGATTACATGTCAACATGGATCCTCAGTAGCTTTACACTAAACTGATCGCTAATCTAACCATCCTCATTTCAATTCTATAGCGGTACTACTACTATATTCACCATGGAATAGACACAGAACATGTGGCACCTATGGAAGATTCTTGGCTTGACCATGTTTTGCAACTTGTTCCTCAAAGTTTGAAGGTAAATGTTAGGGATTGTCTTCATTTCTCAATCATGTTCTGTGTTTCTGTTTGTATCTATTAGATTAATACATGTGATAAGGTCAATCTATAAGATTAATTTAGTTGTATAAGAAATTCTAGGTCATTACTTTAATATAAACTATAATAGGAACATAAAACAGCATTTATTTAAAACCTAATGCAATAACTAAATTAACAGTCACCTCTTGAATCAAAGAAATATACACTTGTTCAATCATGTATTCCATGCAAATTATCATCAGGATAGAGCGTTAATGCTATGAACAACTTTTAAAAAAGTAATCTGATTAGATCCTGTTTTGGACAAGTCTGTACTATATACACTGTACAAAACAAATTAATACACCATTGTACATTTTCCAAAAATCATTCTAATAAATAGACATGGTATAAAGAAATGTTTGATGCATAGAAGCAATTTAGGTGCACTAATTAAGTTTTAACAGCTTGCGTATCATAATTCTTTTAAGTCAATTGGCATATCATTTGATATGCAGCAGCTTTAGTATCCATTACTTACCTTAAGTAATATTTTGCTTGTATGATTTCAGGATGGGTTTGATTTGTGTATAGAAAATCTTTCAGATGAAATGAGAGAAGATTATTTACTCAGTGTCAAAAAGGCTATTGGTATGTACACAAATCTGTTTTCCTTTTTGGAGGCAATTTCCTGTGATTCTGTCATACAAAAAAAAGCTGTAATTGATTTATTTAATATGCTGTGGAAGTTTGTTTTAATGATTGAGGCACTCAGGGTACCCTGTGGCCACCTTCATCATTCCTTCAATGTAGTCTCTTCCTGGTTATGCCAATTAAAGTTCAATTCGTGGTCACATACAGTGTACCATTCAATACATTTGTACAGAATTGTGTTTTTAACGTCCAGTCAATTTCATTGTGGAATTAAATTTGATGTTGCATATAATTAATATTAGAGTTTATGTGGAAAGTAGGTGTTCTTTGGTTCCAAGTTAAAAACCCCTCGGCCAGGTTGTTCAAAAGGGGGTTAACGTTAATCTAGGATTAATAGTTAACCTTGGCTTTAATTTCTCATGTAGATGAACGTAAACTAGAGATAAGGTTTTGTAGGAGTTCATCTCAATATGACTTGAAACTAGCTGGGAGAATGCAAAAGAATAATATCCCTTTGCAAAGGTATTAAAAATTTACTTCAACCCTTGGCTAGGTTAATGGTGTTTTGAACAACCCAGCCCTAATGCTTAGTAACCTTAAAAGACTTGTTGCTGGTACACATTTAAAAAATAAACTAAGATATTAAACGCATTTTCTAAATTAACCTTCCGTTACCATTAAATACACTACCTCAAAAAGATAATATTTAGAAGAGGTTGTGTATTTAAATTTTAGATTGAAGTATTTTTAGTACTTTACTAAGTAATTGTCCTATCCAGCAGTATGGTGGGTTAATGGTGTGTGTGTCTTTTTTCTTTTTATCTTTTTCTTAATATACAGTTGACTTTGTGCTCAAAGATCCTCGAGAAAAAGATGATGATAAAAAAGAGGAAGTTTTAGAACACAAGAAAGAGTGAGTCAATGCATTGATGTTGTATTAGAACTTTTATTAATGTATTAGGTATTCAATTTGATTTTAAACTGCTTTAAAAAATTTCCAATTGAATACTGATGATACATATTGGACTATTAATACCTCTAGCAGACATCTTCAGTGATTGAACCTAATGCAGACTACAATGTACCTTATTTTTCCCTACTTCTTTTTTTTTCTGATGACTTGAACTATTGAGTACTTTCCCAAGCCTTTTTCCTCCTAGTGAATCTCTTTCTTACTTACTAATTTGCAAATGCTATTGAGATATGCATTGAATACTTTGATTTCCTGCTGTTAAACATTTCCATTAAGTGCTTCACTCATGTACACATTCAATAGTTTCAAAGTGTGGATTTTTCTTTTACAACTCAGCTCTTATTTCGTTTAACATTCTTTATAATACATGTAAGTATTTTAACAAACAATAACAATTAGCTCTCAGACTGTTTGATACTAAAAACAGTTT